GTGAGCAGAGATGTGAGACAAAGGAGTAATAACGAAGAACAAAACAGTTTCATTGGAGATCATAAGTCACAAGGAGTGGATGCATCTGCGCTGGCCACTGAGAACGATTTTGAGCCATGTCACCAATTGTTTCCAACCATTGATTTTTACCGTCCCGAGGACCCCAGTCAGGAAATCTACACCTTCCTACGTGGCTTAGACCAACTGTTGTGGATTTCATTGACTGGTGCCAAGATTTTGTTTGACCGCCGCTAGCTTTTTTCCAGCCTGACCCTATATCCGCTAACATAGCTCGTCGAGGGAGGCGATGACTTGGCATACGTAACACATGTCCTAACCATCTCAGTCTTTGTAACTTCAGGACTTCGTCGATTGATTTCCCCTGTTTACCTAGCACTCGACGCCTAACTTCAATGTTGCTCACCGTATTATGCCACTTTACACGGGAAATAGAGCGCAGGCACTTATGATCAAACACAGCTAGTCTTTTCATGTCTCCCATTCTCAGTGGCCTGGTCTCACTCACAGCCATAACGGAGGACAGAGCGGACTGATGAGCAGTACACCCGCCCTTTGGTCGATAGTCGAACATCTCGTCTACGCCAGAGTCGGCGTAAACTGGCAAATGCGAAACGAGCCCCTTGTATTCGTGCTGAGATTTCGTCAGAGATCAGCCCGTTGGCACTGGCTGATGGTACTTCCAAAAGTACCATGATATTAGTGTAGTTCAAATCGCTTCATTTTTCAGCATCAATTGAACTGGAAGGGGATAATGAAAATTTTTTTAAAATTAAAACAAAGCTCAAGGCTGATAAGCACTCTTAAAGCATAATCCGAAAAAAACGGTAGCTAAATAAAACACATTTGGACAATCATAAAGACGGCAAAAACTGAATGACTACAATTTTCGACCTTATAAGTTTTCGATGTGGTTCTTTTCTCTGAGGTAACTAGGTGATTTCATTGAAAACCTTGCGTTATCCTTCTAAAAAAACACACGATTTCTGCATATTCCTAGGCATTGCCTTCCTCGATGGGTGATATTAACTGACATAGGAGTGATCAGGTTGGAAAAGATGAGCTAGTGGTGGTCAAACAAAAATTCGGCTTCATCAGTCAATGAAATCTACAACATTGAATTGGATTTTTTGATTTTCCCGTCGATTGATTGGACCGAAGTGCTCGGTCTCAGGTTGACATGTCGGCTTCTTGTGCAGATGCTTCGACCTGAGACCGAGCACTTCGGTCCAATCAATCGACGGGAAAATCAAAAAATCCAATTCAATAATTAATATGACCCGTTGCACAAGAGGTGGCTCTCGTGGCCCAAGTGGTCTAATGGATAACGCTTTGGCGTTCGAAACTATGGGTACTGGGTTCGAGCCTTGGTGGGAACATCATCACTCACTGAGAAATGCAGGTATATCCAGATGACGAGTCCCAAATAGGACGAAATGCGCATCCTGGATTCCACTGCTAGTCACCATCCACCAATTGAAATCTACAACAGTTAGTTTAGTTTAATCCAGCTACGTAGGGAGATGTAGACTGCCTGACTGACTGACTGACTGAGGTGCATGGGATCCTAAGGACCAATGAAGAATGGAGATAATTAGTGATATAGCTCAAAATACATGTTCTCAATGGCTGATGAAGATGCATTCACTTCTTGTGATTTGTCATACCCCAAAAAACTGTATTCGTCTTTCGGATTACTACAGTTCTTTGTACCTCACTCGCGCTTCCGTTCATTATCTTTCCCTTTTGAATCTCTCTTCAATTTCTTCTTTTGCTTTGTGTGTACTACATGGAGGCAGAGTGGCATCTCGAACTGAGGCACATCTGTGCCAAATTCTACGTTTAAACCAGTCAATCAGACAGCATGACTTCACTGCAAGCTTCAATATGAAGTGAACATATTTGAACTCTCTTACCCATGAATGATATAATTTAATGGAGATTTCATTACAACTTGCACTGAAGACTTTGTTTAGCAGGTCAACGAAAGCTTTTTAATTTAATTACCCAGCTTTCCAAGAGAACGCACCAAAGTCAGAATCATCCATCTGGTCTAAACTCTTTTCGTTATTTCAAAACTTGCAAGTACCAAACATTTCAAGGCGATTAGATCTATTGGGGGGATTTCATCATGAGCTGATATCAGTTGGAGAACCATCAAAAGACCTGGGAGTACTAGACAGCCAACTGTTTCATCGCAGTTTGGAACTCTTCATCAGTAAGCACCATCTGGGGTTCAAACCCATGACCTTCTGGTTACAGGATGCGGTCGATTAGTTTGGAAGAAGAACTGGTAACAACGGTTGTTATAAACGTGAGCAAATGGACAACATATCCTAAAATTGCCAGCAAAGACGCTAAAATGAATACAGGTTTCCTCAGCAACAATACTTCTTACTATTTGACAAACTATCAGAGTGGAAAATTATTTTGACAAGTGTTGACTAGCAGTGGAATCGAGAATGTGGATTTTATTCAATATGGGATTAATCATCGGGATGCACCTGCATTTTCAATGAGTTAGTGATAGTGTTTTCACTGAGAGTAAAACCATGAACTCTTCGTTTCGAGTGCGAAAGCTGTTACGATTTCATTAGGAACACTATCACTGACATTAAGATGATGAGGCTCAGACAGGACGAAGTCCACACTCCTATATTCGACTACTAGTCACCATCCAGCCAAATGATTTCATGCTAGTCCTTAGAAATTGTTGAAGCATCCATACTAAAAACAGATTTGTCAACATTGAGACAGAGCGTTCTCTAAAACAGTAATAATAGCTTCATTGCAGATAGTGGTCATATAATGTAGGGAGTTTCCAGTGGAGTTTATGGCATAATATCCTCTCTTCGTCTGGAATCCTCAAGTAAAATATTCATTGAAAGTAGATCGCGTGACACACTGCTATCCGGCCTGTTAGGCAAATCAATCGATTATGATATCCATGAGTGCATTTTAAGGCACAAAGATCTGTTTCATGTTTCGAGATATGTTACCGCCTGTAACAGCAGGTAGTACGCATTTTTAATACTCATCAATTAGAGGTCATATTTTAATGAATTGACATAAAGTTAACAAGATAGAATCTATGCAGAATGGTGATGGAGGCTTTCGGTAGCACAGAATCTGCTTAGACCGCCAAGGCATCTCATATATGCAAAGTGATAAATAGAAATTTAAACTGAAAACAAATGAGAGAAGATAAATTTTATTTGAATTTCATATCATATTAACAATGTATTTCCAGTATGGGCAAAATTTATTTTGAGAAAGTCTCACAGTGTTGTTATACAGTAATATTTACTAATGACTACACGTTTCAAGCACAATTTATCGCCACTCATAATTATATCAAGGTACTACTCATACAACTTTCTAACCTCGTTTATTTAATTCCATTATTTGTCATTCCTCGATTTGATGATTGGTAGTAGAAGTATGTTCCATATTTCCGGTATGAGTGATGAGTCATGAGTCCTGTTGTACGTGTTGAGTGTAGATTCGATGAACAAGGATTCAGTAATCAATTTCTCTTTCAACCTACTTAAATAACTTCTTAGAATTTAACCCTCTCTCACCCTATTGTGTGATTGTGTGTTAATGCATGCAGTGCAGTTGCTGAGCTTTTTTCTAAATTACTTATCTTCACGGGGTCAACCGTTCTAACCTTAACTAAGTTCTTATATTCTGAAAATCTGACTACCCCTGACCTACTAGTTTGACCTATGTAGTTCACATAACTCACAGTCATTGCAAGGTATTTTGTAAATTATATTATTTTGTCTAGTTAGGTCAACTGGGTCCCTTAACCTACAGAGTTTGTCCTACCTAAGTTAGTTTATTGGTTTAAATGCCACCCGAATTTACGCTTTATTAAAAATCCTACGTAGGGTCGCAGATGTCCCCTTCTTACATAGTGAAACTACTGCAGATACCTTATATTCTTTCGCATTTATGTTATCACTATTAGTTTCATAATTATTTTTGTTTCGCTTTTGACCTTTTGTGATCTTCCTGATAAGTTTTGTAGGATAGTTATTTAACATCAAAGCCTCTTCTATCTGTTTTAATTCATCATTTAAGTCTTTTCTTGTACTACTTAGTGCTAGTTGTTTTTCTGCAATACACTAGTGTGCAGTTTACCTTCTTCTATTCGTTTTATTTTACAATCTAACTTCATAGCTAATTCTCCTTGTTCATTTTCTGATTGATAGTTTATGTATGTCAAGAAGCTAGAGATATTTTCTGTTTTTAACACTGTGAAAGTGTCATCCACATATTTTCATCATATTTTTGGAGTAGGACTAAATGTTTTAAGAGCAAAATTTTCTCAGCTGTCCATGACTGTGAGGTCAACTACACAGGTCAACCAGTTGGTCGGCGGTAGTCAGATTGTCACAACATAAGAATTTAATTAAGGTTAGAACGGTTGATCCCGTGAAGATAAGTAATTTAGAAAAAAGCTCAGCAACTGCATTGCATGCATTAACTCACAATCACACAATAGGGTGAGAGAGGGTTAAATTCTTAGAAGTAATATAAGTAGGTTGAAAGAGAAATTGATTACTGAATCCTTGTTCATCGAATCTACACTCAACACGTACAACAGGACTCATGACTCATCACTCATACCGGAAATATGGAACATACTTCTACTACCAATCATCAAATCGAGGAATGACAAATAATGGAATTATATAAACGAAGTTAGAAAGTTGTATGAGTAGTACCTTGATATAATTATGAGTGGCGATAAATTGTGCTCGAAACGTGTGGTCATTAGTAAATATTACTATGTAGCAATAATGTATGAGACTTTCTCAAATTAAATTTACTCACAAAGAATAATACAGAGAAGCACAAGTTTTATTCTTATGTCAATAATAACAAACATTGTTGTCTTATTAATTCAAGCGAAAGTCTTTTATACCTGCAGTAATGCCTTTTATTTTCATGTGGTTGTTTTTGTATTCCAACAGGCTGGATTTGCTTTAGGCATATTCCTTCTGATATTTGTCGCTTTTATCGCCGGTTACTGTGGTTATCTTGTGTTAAGAGCTACAGAAGATTTAAAAAGTAAGTTGTCAGCTTTTATTTTTATAGAATTGTTTTTCAAAAGACTGATTATTGATGGCCTGGATAACCTGCTCTTCACTAGGTTCTACATTTATATGCATCCATAATAGGGCATGAATGAATTAGTTCTATTAACAACATTAATGTTATTTAAATAACAGCGACTGAAGGTTGGCCAGGGCAGTAGTAGTGGCTGGCTGGACTTACTTCTTCTTCTATTCACAACATAACATAACAATTTCGCTTTATTCCAGAAACAGTACTTGTGGTACAGTGTGGAATTTTCAGCACATATCTACAATATTGCATCTAATTTCATCGTACATTTAAAAGGAGTATTTAAAAAAAATATTTAAAAAAAACATAAAAAACAATAACAACAAAAACCAAAAAAGAAACACAGAAATAACAAAAAAAATGCAAATAAAAATACCAAGTAAAAAGGAAGATAAACACAAATAATGAAAAAAATATTTCAGTATTGGTTAGTGGAAGCTACGATATGTGTATGCGTGGTGAACAGTAACAGCTATAATCATACGGGAAATTATGAGATGTTCTTAAAAAATGTTTATAGCCAAGATGATCAGTTAATTTGATTGAACAACACTAAGCAATCATAAGATAAACATTTCAGGTTGTTTTTTTTTTGTCAGTACTAATGCGGTTGTTTGTAGTGGCAGTGTGAGGAATCATGCATAATACAAAATTTTTTAAGATGGTGATAGTGGCAATAACAAACAAGATTGTCAGTTAAATAGTGCCGAACAAAGAACAACCACAAAACTAATGTTACATGATGGTTAATGACGGGACAATTTTTAATAATCATAGTGATAATATAGTCGGACCCAGTAGATGTACAAAGAAGGAATAGAATAAAGAATAAAAATGTAAGCCAATGATAATAATTTTAAGCAGCTAAGTATGTTTAAGAAGGTTGTTCACTATAGAGTACAAATAAGAGAGTGTAAGGGGGAAAAAACAAGGGCCAAAATTATGTTATTAACAACAAAGCAAGTCATAGGTTTCACGCCTAACATTGTCTCTGTCACTTAGAACACGGGCCAAATATGGTATCGTTGAGTTCCTATACTTGGTTGTGCGAGCATATATTATTTTATACTGATTTCTGGTTCTACCTGATGAGATGCAGGGAGAGAGTTGGGAATAGAGGGGGTGTTGGGGGTCAGAGAGTATGGTTTTAGACCATTTCTCACATGTATTCAGATGCTTATCCACTAATGTTGTGACGAGCTGACTGAGTTTTACACCGCTAGTCCTACTAACTACCTTCAACATCCTTCTCAGGATGGTATAATCCTTTTTCAGTAACCCAGGAAAGACTAACGGGGAACAGTAAAGTAGAATAGGTAGGATACGAGAGTTGACAAATTGTGTAAGCAGAGGTTGAGGGACTCCAGTTAGTCTGAGTTTCTTAATGTAGTAGGTTAGACGAAACACTTTCTTGGAAATCATTTGGATATGAGATGACCAAGTAAGGTCGGAAGATATAACTAATCCGAGGTATTTTGCATTAGACTTTGTTTCAATTATAGTCCCCTCGATTCTACAGACATCATGAGTGCTTACTAGTGTTTGTAGATCTCGTTTATGCCTAAAGGAGAAGTCGACAGTCTGGCATTTTGAGGGATTCAGCGTTAGGCCATTTATTTTAGACCACTGACTGATGTCCGACAGGAAGCTATTTAATTTGAAGCAGTCTGACTGAGACTTAACGGGAAGCGAAACAGTCAGGTCATCTGCATATTTGACGAAGTTGATTTCGTCTGAGAGAGGTAAGTCATGTAAGAAGAAGGAAAAGAGAAACGGCGAGAGAACAGCACCCTGAGGAACACCAGCTTCAGTAAGCAAAGGAGAGGAAGCTACACCATTATATACCGTGTACTGCATCCTATTGGAGAAGTAAGAGTGCAGCCAGTTGATAGCCCAGGACTCAGTTTGTGTAAGGCTAAGCTTGTTTAACAAAAGGCCTCTAGGTACAGAGTCAAAAGCAGATGTGTAATCAAGGAAAGTACAACGGACATACTTGGCCCCTTTGTCTAAGGAGGATACAATGTTGTGATGAAACACAGCAGCAGCATCCAAAGTACTTCTACCCTGTTTGTAAGCAAACTGCTTTGGATCATTTGAGAAGCTTAGGGAGGGAATGAGTTTTTGTAACAGTAATTTCTCCATCAGTTTCAAAAAGGAGAGGTAATGGCAATTGGTCTAAACTTAACACTATCTCCAGAACCAGACTTGGGTACAGGGATGATTTTAATATCTTTCCACAGAGAAGGTACATTATTATTAGAAAAAGAAGTATTGAAAATGCTTGTAAGTGGGTTACTTAAAATATCAGCACATTTCTTTAAAACAATGGCAGGTATACCATCAGGGCCTAGACTCTGGGAAGGTTTAAGAGATTTCAAACATTTAAGAACATCAGAAGTATTGAAACGATGAAAGTCACTGGTCGTGTTATTAGTTAAATTGAAGGCAGAAAGGACATTTGGAGGGCGGATGAAAGATCTATTGAGAGTATTTACATCAATAGAAGAGGCAAAATTATTATGCTTACCACAACCAGTAATTTCTCTAAAAAGCTTCCATATGTTTTCTGATGTTTTACAAGATAGTATTGTTTGATTATAAATGTTGTTTAGTCTCTTGATTTCAGATTTAATTTGGGTGTTTATCTTCTTAAGACCAGATTTATTCTTTGTCTTGTACAGCTTCTCTTTTTCTCTACGAAGTTTTTTGAGATGAGGGGAAGAAAAACGATCCATTCTTTTGAAAATTATCTGTTTTGGACAGCATATATCAAGACAGAATTTAAGATAGTCAGTCAAATTGGAAATAGTATCATCCAGTTTGTGTTCGTTGAAAAGTTCCCAGTTAGTGTCATTTAGCATACATCTTAGTTTGAGCATATTTTCTTGTGAGTAACACCTTTGCTGTGTTCTCTTGGACAGATTTGAGAAGATATTAAAGTGAGATCTGCTGTATATCTTAGGTAATATCCGAATAATACAATGATCTGAGTTCATGATAGGAGCACGTCGGCGTACTTCATATATTTCCTCATCATTAATGAACACCAGGTCAAGGGTTTTATCAAGTCGAGTAGGGAATTTAACAATATTGGCATGACCTAATGATACGAGGAAAGAACAATCACAGCAGTTAAAATCTCCTGTGACAACTGATAAAGAGTTTTCAAGATGTGTAACGGCAAATTCAGTGAATTCATCAGCAAAATCAGATAGATCAGATGCAGAACAGCCAGGAGTAACATAAATGTTAGAGATGAAGACGTATTTGAATTTGGATAAATGTTTCGGGCGGCATTTGACCGTTATACAATCAATAAAGTCATTAGAGTAAGAAAAACATACATTATTTGAAGTTGACCATTGAGAATGAATGAAAGTTGCAACACCTCCACCTCTTTTCTTTCTGGAGCATAGTCGATCTTGTCTAAACAATGTAAAACCATTTAGGGAAACCAGATTGTCATCATAGAGTTCATGGAGCCATGTTTCTTGTAATGCAACAATCGCCGTATTGTGATAAGTATCAGATGATAAGAGAGACTGGAGATGCATAATTTTGTTGGGAAGTGAACGGCAGTTTGAAGTGACAATAACAGGAATGGTTGTACGATATAAAGGTGTCTGTTTAAGTGCACGCTGCCAGCCAGCATGATGTTTTCTCTTAGATTTATTAGATGCATTATTAGTTGCATGAAAGTCATATGGTTTAAAACGTTTAATGAATGAATTACTGTATTTTATGCGATTTGTGATCATATTTTATTAAAATTAGGAATGAAAACATGACTTATTAGATGCAATATGTAGATGCACGAAAAAGGTAGCCCAGATGTCAAACAGGCCGCCAGCAATAGTTGGCACCTCAGGCGAATTGTGACAGCCTCTAAGAAATTTGCAGTATTCGTTTGGTACTTAGATCTTTGGACTCTTGGTGGTTCTTATTACTTTATTATTTATTTAGTTACAATACTGGTAAATGTTCCCGAACGAGCACAAAAATCACATTTTTAGGACAACGGCCAATATAACTCCTTCCACCACAAGCAGCGCAGTTGAAGTGACACATGCAATTAGAAGTGACTAGTCTAGGTACGTAATCTTTCAATCGGGGAATCACCATTGGTCCTGTAGGAAATATGATCTGTTATTTGCCAACATCAAAAGTTCTTTGAACTGATTTTCTTAACTTCATCGTAATTATTTTGTGTGTATAAAGGTTTTACTGTTTACGAATAGTGAGTAGGCCTTCTGAACTTTCCTAGTCATATGCTTCGGGATGAGTTTGTTTGGACAGCTATTTTCAATCAAGGTATCACATACAATCCTTACTCCATCTTCAAGTATCTCTTGTGTGAATATATCTCTAACTGCGTGTTTGAAAGTCCTTACTAAATTTCTTTTATACTAGAGAGGAATGTAACGATGAAAGTGTGTATATTGTCCTGTCCATGTGTTTTTCCTATGCAAATTTCTGTTTTTACTAACATATAGTTCTGCTACGTTTCATTGTTATGCGCAGTGTCTGAATATGTATCATTATGTTGCTTTCATGTGACATCATAAATCTAAGACTGAAATCAATATTTATTTTATTCTTCTGCTTTCTGCATGGAACATAAGTCTTTCAGCTTGAACTCTGAAGTCTCATCAGCAGCGGTGTTAATTTTTCTACTCGGTGGGATTGCTGGTCTAACAACGTGCAACCATCCGCCTTCACGATACTTATTTCTGACTAAGCGAGGTTTATGGATGTCTCTGTCGACTACAGATCACAAGTGTCGTGGTTGAGGAGTAATTCATCACTGGACAATCAAAGTAAAAAAAATCAATATTTAGGATGCTTTGCATTTCAGCCGTTGATTTGTAGGGATTCAGTTTGCTTCGCGTTTGATCACGAACTGGCATCAGTTTCAGCACTCTTGAAAACCGCCGACTACTGTACAGCAGTCTCGTCCTAGTTTGCGAAACATCAGAAGTATGCATCACCTGAGGTCCGAACTAAAGAACTTCTTGTTTTAAGGCAAGCACATAGATAATTCACTTGAATGGGTTCTCGTGAGTAAGCGTGACCTGTTGGATTCATTAGGTCAGGCGTAAGGACAAATACTCGCCACCACTAGTCATGCTAAAATCACGAATTGATAGAAGCTGAGATTTATGGGCTATCCATTGGATCGGATCCTATTGATTGAATAGCCTACGCAGTTGTCTTTTAGAAGGAAAATACTGGATTCGAACCCCAGTGATGAAGGGTACCTACTACCGAAGCGTACCAAACTGCGATGAAAGTAGCTGTTGAGTACTCTATAAAAAATACTGACCGTTGGTAGAGATATATACTATCTATCATTCACCTTCTTTTATGTGGTTTTCTATAATTGAATAAATCAAGAACAACTGTGGTTTGTGCAGAATAACATGGTACCATCATTTATTTTGTTGGCTTCTCATCAGCTGCTGCTTACAGCCTAAATAAATTATTCTAGTTTATGTACAGAAACGTTTTAACATACTTGCAAACTTTACATGATGTCAATTGACAGAAAGAAGGGCACACTTTCGACTTTCCGAAAGTATGATAAAAGCCTAAGTCTCAACGGATCGAACTCTTATAATAACACTCTTAACAGACATCTCGTCAACACACCGCATGAGGCAGAAATCGCCAAATCCTTTTTAATTATCAATAGACAAAAGGAGGTCAATTCTCCTCAAGTTTGCCGGGGTAATCTCTATCAATTGCCTGAAACCAGATTGATGTGTTCAGAAAGAAGCAGTCTTCAATCTTTCAGTGCCTCGCGTGGTAACTGGATAGCTTTATTCTCCCTTTCCTTTCATGACATAATCTTTGGCTACAATCTCACTCCTCCTTTTTGATAAAATGTAATTTTGCTTGTCTCTTGTTTCTACGATTTGAATTGAACTCAGTACATTGTAACCTAATTTCTTAGTTATTCAGCGTCTTACGCATCTCTCGTCTTTATTACGTAACTCCTTTACCATTGTATGCATACATTTATTTTGTTCAAACCTGAAATGCCTGGTTAAAAACTATATAAGCGCAGATTTTTGAGCACTGTTCACTAATTTCGGAACCTTCTGTCAACTGACAGACATCATGTAAAATTTGCAAGTTTATTAAAGCTTTTGTGTACATAAACTTAATAATATTTTATTTAAGCTGTAAGCAGCAGCTGATGAAAAGCCAACGAAATAAACAGTGATATTATTATTATTATTATTGTATCCTTTAGTTCTTAGAGAAACATAGGGCTTCAGCTGTGCACTTCCATTGCTTTCGGTTTTCTGACAACTTTTTCACCCTGCTCCAGGTCTGTCCACATGCTTTCATCTCCTCCTCGCATGATCTCCTCCAAGTCACCCTTGCAGTGACGACCAACTCGCCGCCTCCCTTTCGGGTTCCACTCGAGCAATGGCTTGTCTAGTGATGTCACTTGATGGTTTCCTCAGCGTATGGCCAGCCAATCCATCTCCATTTCTTCCTGCCTATTTGTTTCACAATCGGTTCCTGATTGGTTCGCTCACTCCCAGAGATCCCTGTTGCTGATCTTTTCTGGCCGGCCATCTGATCTTGAGTATTGAGCAGAGACAGCTGTTGATGAAGGTTTGAAGTTTGTTTGAGACGCTCTTTATGACTCGCCAAGTCTCTGATCCGTATAGTAGCACTGACTGACTTTACATTGGAGTTGAAAATCCGGATCTTATTTTTGATTTTGAGTGCTGTTGACCTCCACACAGATTTGAGAATAATGAAAGCTTGTCTTGCTTTTCCGATTCTGGCTTTGATATCCTCGTCAGTTCCGTTGGCCTGTAGTTGAGACGATGCTTCCCAGGTAGGTGAAGGAGGTTGTTTCTTTAAGGTTCTTCCCACTTATGCTGGTTGTTTTCTGTTGTTGTTGTTGCTGTTGATATTGGCTAGGAATCTTCATCATCTCTGTTTTATCTATGTTCACGTGAAGTCCTATCTTTGATGCTTCTTCTGCCAACTTGTTACTTTTCACTTGCATATCTTCCAGTTTATGGGAAATCAGACATATATCATCGGCGAAATCCAGATCCTCCAAGTCTTTTGTGTCAGTCCATTTTATGCC